GGGGGGGGGGGGGGGGAAGGTCCCTGCCTGGGAGGAAAGGCGACAAGCAAACGGCCTGCAGACAGGGAAGCGGAGGCGACGTCTGGAGATTGGTGGCTTATTACAAGCGGGCGAGGGAACGATCGTTCCATGGCCGGGACCGCTGGCTGTGGGGAGCAGCCTGCCCTGGTGGGGGTCCTGCCTGGGGCTTTGCTGGGAGCTCAGCAGCAGCTAGAAGAGGAACCGCCACGCCGAGGCAGCATCTAACCTCGGCCAGTGCAAGAATACTTGGAAAAAGGCAAAGGTTGATGGCACTTTACAGACTTTATATACTTATATATACTTTATACGCTTTATAGACTTTTGCTTGAACTAAGCATTAAAGGACTGAGTATTAAAGATGTATTTACATCACCTTGCAAGTCCTAGATGGGTGGAGAGCAAGAGCCTGCTGTCGGGGACGGCAATAAAGCACCGTGTACAGCTTTGCCACGCTGTGGCACGTCCAGTCCTTGGAAATCAAAGAACCCTCACAGGCCTGAGTTGCTATTAGCCCGGGCTCTCCAAGGGCTTCCTTCGGGTCAGCTCGAGGCGGCGTTCACACAGCCCCCTATTCTAACCTGGAACTGGGTATCACGGGTCAGCCTGTTGCAGGATGCCAACATTTGCCCCTGCAGGTGGTAGCAAGCAGGCCATTCCCTAAAGTCCCCACGTGTGAGATGAACGCACCGCAGTTCTGCTCTGGGAACCCAAGTGTAGGGTTTAGCATGTTGTGTGAACCCAGGCAGACAGAGGTATGCACAGGGTCAGGCGCTGAAATCAACCCCTGGGAAGACGGTCTAGGAAGCAAGGTGGCCGCCCTCAGGCCCCTGCCCCACGGACAGGAATTGCCTTCTCTGGGGCCCCCTTGAGGGCTTTGGGGGGTGTTTTGGACGTGGGAGGGAATGGAGGGGGAACCGGGAGCACGGGCTGAATCTTCCTCCCCAACAAATTTTGCGTCTCGGGGATTAAAGGGGTGGGTTTACAGAACTTGCTAGGAGAAGCCGAACGGGGTCCACCGCGTGAACATTTGCATGTCCAGCTCCTTCCTTGTGTCTGTTTGGGTTCAGCCCTCCGCTCGACGGCCGTCCCACAGACTTAAGACGCCGTCCAAATTCCCCAAGATTCATCTCTCACAATCTTTAGCGAGGCAGAAAGTCTCCCTCTCTTTCTACTAAAACACAGTTTGATTACAAGAACGTTATGCGGTGATTCCAAAATTAGCACGGCGTGGCATTCACACAATCAAATAATTAACACATTTCTCCATTAAGGCTTGGAAGGTAATTGCTTAACAGGTCTATCTGTCGTGACTCTCCATCTTTTCCAGGATCTTGCAAGGGTCCCACTGCCTGCGCCTGCTGCATTCTGGAGCAGTTGAAGCTTCTGGTTGGTACTCAAGGGCGGCCCCACGTGCAGCACATGGCAGCAGTCAAGCCATGGGGTGACATGGGCAGGAGTCACTATCTGGGGCGCTGCCTGATCCAAATGGAGCTGTGCAAAGGGGCACAGCAGCCACTTGCTCTTTGGAGAGGAGCTGTGAGTGCAAGAGGACCCCCGGATTGCGCACCACTCTTGAATGGGGCAGTGTGACCCCATCCAACTCAAAGATGGGATGCCCCCAGATCCGGGTGTCCCCAACACCCGTAGCCGCTCAGTCTTGGTACAATTGAGTTGGAGACAGTTCCTCCCCATCTAGACCTGCCCAGCCTCAGGCACTGGAACTCAACCTCAGCAGCCAGTCCATGATTACATATTACTTTTTTAAAAATGTTGGTAAGACCAACCCCAAGGTTACAAAATACTGTGCAACTTTTGGGAGACTCTCCAGGCTGGTATGTTAAACCAGGACAGAGGAAGGATTGTTTGGGAATGCCCAGCCACGTTGCAGCACCAGTTCTCAAACATCTAAGCAAGCTGATTTTTTTTAGACTGGATGGAAGACCACTAGGAGATCCCAAGCAGTAACAAGGATAGGCAGTCAAAAAAGCATTCCAGAAGAAAACACTGGCAAACCCCCACATTGTTGCCACGCCATGCAGTCAACAGAAGCTGAGCTTGACTTAAGGGAGATGGCTATTTTCTATTTTCACTATTAAGGGGTGTGGTACAAAGCCTCATGACTTTATTCCAGAAGTTTGGAAAAGGGGATTTCAGAATTAGGCTCTTCTGTGCCTTATGGATGCATATACTGGATAGGATAGGAGAGCATGAGTGCGTGTCTGTGGGAGGAGGCCATGCCTGAAGGTGCTCCCGGGGCCATAAATGTGAATTTATTCCACCCCTGATGGGGTTCGCGTTGGAGGAGTTGTTTTTTCTGCCAGCCACGAGGGGGCGCCAGACGCTCATTTCAACCAACTTTTCCCTTTGACCCCGTGAAAGTGAGTGGGATTTAAATAACTTTCTCTCACCGCCCCCGCGTGCAAAACGAGGCAAGGCCCAGCCCTCACCTTTGCTTCTGCAGCAGCGCTGGCTGGGAATAGCCCACAGTGCTTCCTAACTGATGCCCCTGAGGAAACATCCCTTGGGCATTCGTCAATTTAGAGAAAGCAGAAGAGAAAGTGAATGTGAAGGGTGCAAAGTTCTGCATGAATATGGGGCTGGCTGCTGCATGCCGTAAGCGCAGGATGTGATGGAAATACAGCGCTGGAGAATAGATGGACTGTTTAGTAAATGGTGTAGCACCGAGCAGAGAGTTAAAAAGAGAATCTGATATTCCCTTGGTCGTTTAATATATTTATGGACAAATAAGAATTGCTCGTGCTGATATTAGAGGCGTGTTGGCTGAGGGTGCATGTAAATTTGTATGCAAATGAAGCCATGTGGTTGGTTGAGAACCCGCATGATTTGCACTGAATGTTAGACGGCTTGTGCGATGCAACCAGGACCCCGGCTCTGCAGATGAATGAGCTGAAGGCCAAGGCGGTGGTGTTTAACAGGAAACATGGAATAAACAATTGAAAGTTATAAGTAAATAGTTTAAGAAAATATGAATGCAAGCAGAGGAATTGGGGTCCCTGGGAAGAGCGTTTGCTAAAGATGGGAAAATGGAAAGAAAAAATGTAAGATATGGAAATGCTGTGGAAAACTAATGGGCGTGTTTGTTGAAAGAGGCCAAAATGCTTGGGCAGAAGAGCATGGTTGTGCCCACTCTGTGTCCATGGGGTGGGTCAGGAAAGTCAAGATGGCGGCCACGAGAGTGCAATCGAACCTCTCCCTGTTTTTTATGTGGCCGCCATCTTGACTTTCCTGAGCACACCCTACAGCCTCCCCTATATGCAGGGGAGCGTTGGGTACATCGGAAGAAGCATGAGAGTGTGGAAGAAGGGGATGAAACAGGGGAGGCTGGGTCAGGAATGAATGAACGGGGACTGAATACAGACGTGAGCAACTGGCGTGCCAGAAGTATCATTGAGAGGCAGAACGAGAAGCGCTTTGCTGGAAAGACGGGCGGGGAGAGCGAAGGGGTCGAGAGGAAGGGGAAGGCTGAAGACGCTGCGATGGGGTGCAACTGATGCGACCGCCAAAGGGAGAGAAGCGGTTCCAACAGAAGAGTCTCTCTGCAGCTCAGGGTCGATCTGCGGAGTCCCCCCCTGCAAGGAGGTCGCATCATTAGTGGGAGGGAGGGTGGGGTTTGAGAAGTGAGAAATTCAGCAAAGGCACGTTAAATCTTAAAGGTAAGAAACAGCATTTGGGCTTGGAGAAAGCAAGGCTGGTTTGCCAGGCTAATGCAAGACGAAGAGTTATCGTGAAAGGTGCTGACGAAAACGACTTTTAGCTCAGCCTTCTTTTCTCCTTCTTAACCTTCCTTCCTTCGGCGTACAACGTCACACTCCTTTGCGCAACGTGGCTTACCCCAAAGCGGTGCGACGGGTATACGGGCACGGACAGACGTTTTTCAGTGACCTGGGAGGGCCGAGTCCACGGGCAAACAGCAAGGCAAAGCAGAGTTTTCCTCTGGGGCTCTGCCTGGGCCTCCCCCTGAATTACCCCCAGCTTTGGGGTAGGATGAAAAAAGTCAAGGGATTGAAATAGCCTCCCATAAACTGGATGCTTTCAAATATTGCAGCCACGTTTGCAGGTTTCCAGCTGTGAAATTCCCCCCAACACCCCTGCTTTTGGGGAAGAAGGCCGAGTGGGAGAAGGAGGGGAAGCCACACTATTTGGGGAGGAAGTCCGTTCTCTGCCCCACTGCATCTCCGGCCCAGCGTTTTGTAGGAACAAAAAATCAGGCGCCCCTTTGAGGGG